ATTGTATATTACACTATACAGTGTAGTACAGGCATCCCCCTGTCTCCTTTATTGTATATTACAGTATACAGTGTAGTACAGGCATCCCCGTCTCCTGTATTGTATATTACAGTATACAGTGAGTACAGGCATCTCCCCGTCTCCTTTATTGTATATTACAGTATACAGTGAGTACAGGAATACCCCTGTCTCCTTTATTGTATATTACAGTATACAGTAAGTACAGGCATCCCCTGCATCCTACTGCCTTCTTTCTTGTAGAATAATGTATATAATGCAGTACAGGCATCCCCTGCATCCCACTGCCTTCTTTCTTGTAGAATAATGTATATAATGCAGTACAGGCATCCCCTGCATCCCACTGCCTTCTTTCTTGTAGAATAATGTATATAATGCAGTACAGGCATCCCCTGCATCCCACTGCCTTCTTTCTTGTAGAATAATGTATATAATGCAGTACAGGCATCCCCTGCATTGGTAAAGTGATTTAGAGAGCACTGAAGTCACTTAATTTACCATGATGGCCAGTGAACAGAGATCTTCATAATGTGATCAGCTCAGCTATGGCGGCCCACATATATCATTCATGACAGGTTTCCTTTAATGAAAAGGCATCATCTGGTTGACCTCACACTTATAGGAAGTGTACAGTAGCAGGTCCTCAGACAGGTACTCACCATCCAATACAAGCAATGGGCACTGAGAGCCTCATCATCTTATAAGTCACTTCTATCCGAGTGTCTGCAGGGCAATAAAACATATGTGCACGGGTCCTTGAATCCCTGTGACTCCTGTGCCCTGATTGGTTAAAACTGGAGCACAAGGGAAGTTGTGTCTCATAACAACCAATCAGAGTTAACCATTGATTTAATGGAAGGATCTGGTTTCTCTGGAAACATTTCTGGGGTTTTTTTCCACTGTGTTATTCTGTAAATTTGGTTCTTGGGATTGTAGACACGAATCCCTCTAGTCCCAGTGGTGTCATCTACATATTGTAAGCCCGTCAGTGGTGACTCATCTAATTCATGTGGGAATAATGTAGACAGCTGTACGGTGAATCCCGCCCCATGGAACTATGGAAGGGGTCCGCTGCTCTGACACATTCTGACAGCTAGAAAACATTTAAAGAAGTAGAGTCAATTTGTCCGGTTACATAAAGATGACAAATTATTTTGGATCTTAGGAGATTGGCGAAATGGTCAATTTTTTCAGAAACGGGGGGTCAAAATTATATATATATAGATATATATATATTTAGAGATCTAAACAGCTCTGCTATTACAAACTGGGGGAAAGTATTTGCTCTGGAATTCTCCTTTAAATATCTATGCCAAGTCTATGGAAAATGTGATGTTTTCATGCAGGACTGAAGATTCACCAGCACTGTTCACAGTTTGTATTATCTGTCTCTTGTTTCAGAAGAAATGTTGTCACTGAACGCTAATCTAAACTAACATTCCATAGATATCTGTACACGCTGTGCACACTGTATGGCAACAAGTAAAATGTCGACACTTCCCATCGGGTACAAAGCATTCTGCATTGTACAGGTAAGGGAATAAGGAATGTAACGAATGCTATATGGGAAATGCATTAGGCTGGCTTCACAGTTGTGGTGTGAAGTCACATACAGGCTCTAATACAGGCTCAGGTGATCTGAACATACTGTACATGCTTAGCAGATGCAGTCAGGCTGTGTCTGCACATCTAAACATCCTCTAAGGTCTATGGCCACCTCAAGTCAATGACTCAAATGTGACATTAATGTGAACCGGATCTCTGCTACTTTGTTAATGCTTTAGTTCCTGTTTTAGGCTATCCGTATGATGGACAGGTTCATGGACTAAAGTAAGGCACAGAAGGGGTGAAACCCTGAGTGACTTTACAAAGTCACTATTTTCATATTAAAGCTGTTGGGCTTTGGGACTCCAGGGTGTCTTTAGGAGGTACGTGACCATACAGGCAGCGACTTTTCCTGTTTGTGATGACTGATCATCATTTCTAGCTGGGGCTCCTATAAACTGTACCTTAAAATAGTCTTGTAATAAGTTTATACATTTTTGGCCTTTTACTGTTCTAGCAGTGCCATTACACAAGTCAATCATCCACCATTACCATTGTCCCAATCCTACCTCCTCACCTCAGCAAACTCCAATAAATAACTTGGCTGTATGCACGCTCATATATAACTCTACCCATAATATCTCAGCACCATCATACTCTCCATCAACAAGGTCCTCTTTCACACTCACTGTTAGACCACTTCTCACATAGAGATAGGCACCACCACCTTACTGTTTTACCCTGTCTCTTCGAAAGAGAGCAAAGCCAGGAATAATAGCAGGCCAGCCATGTGAACTAAGCCAAAATTTAGCAATACCAATTATATCATAGTGCTCTTTATGCATCCAAGCTTCCAACTCTCCCATTTTGCTTGGAAAACTTCTGGCATTGCCGAACAAATACTTAAAACCATTGCTGCATTTTGCACTTGTTTTTACCATATATTTTCTTAGTACAAATAGTATTGTAATCACCAATGTTTGTAACATGGGAATCTTCCTGCCATACCCTCCATTAGTGTCTGATGCCTGTCTAACTTATCTACCCCATTTTATTCTAACTCTCCTTCCCCTTCAATCCTAGCTTAAATATTCCTCCAAACTTCTCATAAACCTCCCCCCTAACATATCAGACCCTCTTCAATTTAGGTGTAAACCATCTTTAGCATATAGGTAGAACCCCCAATAAAAAGTCAGCCCAGTGCTCCAGAAATCAAAATCCTTCTCTCTTACACCAGGTCTTTAGCCATCCATTTAACTCTATAAGTTCCCGCTGTCTTTCCTGCGTTGCACATAGCACAGGAAACATCCCAGAGAAGATAACCTTAGAGACCCTTCCTCCCAACTTGCTTGCCATTTCTCTTGATTTTTAAAGGTTCCCCATCTTCCATGTAATCAGCCATTGGTCCCAACATGGACAAAGAGAGCTGGGTCATGTCAAATCCCTCTCTGTAATTTGTCTACCTGATACACCGCATGCTAAACCCTAGCGCCAGGGAGACATCAAACCATTCGACTGAGGCGCTCCTGGGGAAAAATTATTCCATCAGGCCTCTTTATTATAGAATTTTCTATTACAACCAACTGTCTAGGCCTTCCTGCATTACTCTCACCGCCCCTACCAGATAGGCTGCTCTCCCAGTTGTTAGCGATAGCAGTGACATCTAGTGCTGCCAGCTGCACATCTTAACCCAGCTCTGGGTTTGCCACCCACCCATCTTAACCCAACTTAGCAACATAGTCTCAAACACAGGACTGGCCATCCTTTTCTGTTAATCCATACCACTCCTTTTTACTACAGTAACCCAGATTCCTACCATCCTCACTCATCCCTCCACCTTCTCCATCAAACTAATTAACCGCTAGCTCAATGAGCAGAAAACTCCTCTCAAGATTGTCAGGTCTCTTCAATGATGCTCCTCAAGTTCTCCAATGTGAGCTTCCAGGAGTGCATCCTGCTCACATCTGTCACCTAGGTATCCTGGAGCTGCTGCTCCATTTGTGTGCGCACCGAGCAACTCATCAACCTTGCTAACACACATTAACCCAGTTACAATATTTATATTGCTTACAGGAAGTTTAAGAAGTTGCTTACAGGTTGACAATGTTTTAGTTAGTTGAAGCCACTTTGTCCACAAGCCTTAATGTGAGTTGTGTAGTTGCTTATATGAAACCTGATGATTAATAGACACCTGCCAACCCCGTGTTTCAAATGTTTTAAGTGTTTTAACTACTGACAGATGTTGCTTATGTGTTTAGATGACGCAATGAGATCTTGAGTCCCGAAAAGAAACAGAGGAAACACCAAACTTCAATCAGCAAACGTATCTCAAAAAGAAGCACAACTCCTATGTTTTAATTCAAACCCCTTTGTCCACAAGCCTCTGTGGGCAATGAATGATCGCTAGCCCTGGAGATTTATCAGTATCACTTTTAGCCACATGATTAAAATCATGTGTAGTGCTATAATTAGAGTCTAATGATCATTAGGGATTCATAGCCGAGAGCTGAATCCAAGAAATTATGCTACCAGATTCCCTGCGAGTTAACAGAAGCCATTGAGTGACTGAGGTCACCTGTGCCCAGCCAGTGCTATAATGACCCCTAATGGCGACCCATGTGTAATTCCAAAACCATCATCACAAGAGAAACCGTGGGCAGCCAGAAAATGTACAAATCAGAATATCTCTAAAATGTCCTGTTCAATAAGCATTGGCGAGTGCTGTGTATGTGAAACAGATCTATAGAGTTAGATGCTAACGAGAGCCAACTTACAAGTGCAATTTGTTTTTGTAAAGCTTGCTAACGAATAGTAAATTAAACAAACTAGCTAACCTTCTCCATTACAAGCAAAGGCAGACCTGGTAAATGTTTAGAAATGATTTCACCCAATAGGAACTGAATATCTGCTCTGAGATCTTTTTTTCCCTTGGAAGTTCACCTTCTACAGTATGTGGTGGTGTGTAGGTCAGGTGCAGTTTGCATAGAACATTTATATAATCTTATATCAATATTCGTATTATGTTATAAACTGTGTAACATTATTTGTAAAAAGTCAATGGATTTGGGGCCAGATCCAACTTGCCGTATCTTGGTTTACTTTGCTATGTAAAACAAACCAGGACACCAAATCCAGCAGGCGTTATAAATTCATTGGTTTCAGTCTCCTTAAGCACGAGCAAGAGAAGTATACTTTGATCCACCTCTTATGTGTACCCAGCCTTAAATTTAATATCATTTTGTTTTATTTTACTGCTTACCCTAAAACTTGATTCTCCTAGCTCAGGGTTGTCTGGACCATGGCTAGTGGGTCAATGTCCGTGACAGTACCATCAGACTGTTGAAGACCTTTTTAAATATTTGACCCATTGATATACAAATGCCGCCCACCACAGCCATCTATGTATACATGGTGTTATTGAATCTATAGTTTCATACCTCCATCTGCATACGTTTCAGTACCATATCCATCTTGTAGGCCACTCTGCCACGTTCCTTCATACTTTGCCCCGCTGCTCATACTCTGCCGGACTCCATACCTTCCTTTAAATCCATGAGTCCATTCGCCTTTGTACACCCAGTGTCCTTTGGTTTCCACTCCCAAGCCGTGTCTTTTCCCTTGCGACCAGTATCCTTCGTACATGTTACCACTTGGCCAGGTGTAGATGCCTACCACCTCGAACCCGTAATTCCAGGACCCCGAGTACTCTCCTTGGCCTTTCGGCCCTGTGCAGATTCCATGGCCATGGGCTTTACCACCTTCCCACCCCCCGCAGTATGCCCCTCCGTCGTCGAAGTCAAACCGACCTCCGCTCATGCTGACTTGAAATGCAAAAAAAAAAAAGCTAAAAACTTTTAAAGTACGAAAAAATAAACGGTTTCTGAATTTTCTTTAAGCCCAATTTAAAAATTTGATATTTTTTGAGGCATAAAATATGTTATCTAAAAAAAATAATTTAAATCGGATCAAAAACGTGATTGTTTTAAATAAATTACTGCGCAAGAGCGGCACTAAGATTTTAATTGGGTAAAAAAATAATTTTGTCCGGTGCGGCGAGGTTGAAGCCAGAGCCAGTTCTCACGATGCAGAGAGGGTTAATTTGATTGGATCTCTTCGGCCTGGGTCGTGCCACAGTTAGGAAAGGGTTAACTTGCTCCGCAGCCTGTCCTTGCATTATTTGGCTCTTCTCGTTCATGATATCATTTCGGTGGTCCTAGATTTTAACCCACTCCCAGCAAACGGACTCGCTCCCCCTCTCTCTCTGTGTCCGGGCGAGACAGCAGAGTAGAGTCCCAGGCACACAGCCTGTGAGTGCGGGAGATGAGTGAATGTTAAAACAGACCTAACAAGGGTATTGCATCCCAGCTGTTCCAAAAATATAGCCCAATCCCTGCTCCGCTCAATGGCTACTTCTCAGAGCAAGTACAGAGAGAGGGAAGGGGAAAAAAAAACTTCACTAGTAGAGAGGGACGGACTGATAGCAAAAGAAGGCAGACTTAAAATAGATCCTGTGGATGATGAGGGAATATTTGTTCGTGTAGTGGGGGGGCACTGCCATTTTATTGGCAAATGTTCTGCCAGGGGTAGTATAAGCAAGAGAGTAGAGAACATAATGCAGGCAATATAAGAGGCACCTAAATATGTGCTTTTTAGGTATAATGAACCCATGTTGTATAACAGTAGTCGTAATATGTTATTATTTTTGTTATTATTCTCTTATTAGCAATAATTGTATATTATTTTATAGTTATGAGTATTAATACTAATTACACATAATTATTATTTTTGTTAATAATGTTTTTTATATTATTATGATGATGATGACTATTATTATTCTTTTGTTATTAGCAATAATTGTAAATGATTATTGTTATTAGTATTATTTTGCTATTAGCAATCATTGTATATTATTATTATTAGTATTATTCTTTGATTAGCAATAATTGTATATTATTATTAGTAGTAGTAGTATCAATAATCATTACACATAATTAATAAAGTATTATTTTAGTTATTAATAATGTTTTTATATTATTGCGATTATGATGACTATTATTATTATTTAGGTTCTTGCAATGGGCATCACCGGAGTGGTAGAGGTTCTTGTAATGGGCATCACTGGAGTTGTAGAGGTTTTTGTAATGAACCTCTGGAGTCATAGAGGTTCTTGTTTTGGGGACCACTAGGGTAATAGATGTTCTTGTAATGGGCATCACTAGAGTCAGAAGTTCTTGTAATGGAGAATCACTGGCATCGCAGAGGTTCTTATAATGGGCATCACCGGAGTGGTAGAGGTTCTTGTAATGGACATGACTGGGGTCGTAGAGGTTCTTGTAATGGGAATCACTGGCATCGCAGAGGTTCTTATAATGGGCATCACCGGAGTGGTAGAGGTTCTTGTAATGGACATGACTGGAGTCGTAGAGGTTCTTGTAATGGGCATCACTGGGGTCGTAGAGGTTCTTGTAGTGGGAATCATTGGAGTTTTAAAGGTTCTTATAATGGGCATCACCAGAGTCGCAGATGTTCTTGTAATGGACATGACTGGGGTCGTAGAGGTTCCTGTAATGGACAAGACTGGGGTCATAAAGATTCTTGTAATGGGCATCACTGGGGTCGTAAAGGTTCTTGCAATGGGCATCACTGGGCTCGTCGAGGTTCTTGTGGGCCCTCTGCAGGCAAATGAAAGTTTCCATATCCAGCAATGGAATCCTCCATTCTGTTCAAAGGGCTCAAGCTGTTAGGAGGAGCAGACCGATTGTCAGACAAAAAAATGCAGTAAACTGATTGTGTTGCGTTTTCAGGCCCTCTCATTGAAATCTATAAAATGAGCTATTCTGCCCACAAAAAAAGCTCATGTACTTTTTCGCACAACTCGGCTGTGAATGGGGCACCACTGAGTATAATGGGAAATTTTAAAAAAAAAAGCGTGATAAAATGCTCAGGTGTGAATGGGGGCTTAGACAGTTGTCACCTACACAAGTGTCCTTATTGGAAGACTTCCCCTCACCTCTTGTTCTGATGACAACTTTAACATTTTGGGTTTCCTCAGTGGTCACCGGGACAGATACAGAGAGTGAATCTCCCCAGTAGGGACACATAGCACAAAAATATTGACAGAGGGCCTAACCCTTCCCCACGCTATACAAAAAAAAAATGTTTTCCCTATACATACACTTTAAATATCTCCCAAGATTATATGTGTTATCACCTGCATTATCCCCCCACCCCAGTTTCTTACCTCTGTACAAGAGATGTGTTCCATTCAATGTTTACTTCTCTTTTTTTGTTAAGGAAGACATTGCGCTGTGGTGGTCAGTACATTGTCAGTGTATTAAAGCACCTCTCTGGAGAACCAGAGGATTGTACTCTGTGGTCCTATCTGCCCCTCTGCACATTGCCCCAATCAACAGCTTGAGCACTGCTAATTGGAGCAGTGTGCAGGGAAGCGTGTTGATTTGTGAAGTGTGAGGGGGGGCTATGTTGATTGGAACAGTGTGCAAGGGGGTTTCAGACCTGAAGCAGTGTGCAGGGAGCGTGTCAGAACTCAAGCAGTGTGCAGGTGGGGGTGGCAGGCCTACAGG